ATAAATTCATAAAAACATTGTACTGCTTCCCATAACTCTTCATCTTGGTGTTGCGCAACAACAATTAGATCATCACAAGGAATATACCTTTCACCAAAATTTTTGCTCCCGCCTTTTGGTATTTTATGACCACGTTTTTCACCAGACATCCACGGATATATTTTTGGATATTTACTTCCTAGGAGCAGAAATACTACCATTCTTGTCTTTCCAGACTCAGAGGTGCCCGCAACTCCTAGTCTAAATGGATGTTTAGGAGCGAATGGATTCTGTTTTTTCGAAGGTATTATTTCGTCTATTTTGCATAATTCGTAATACTCCATAGTATTTTGAAAAGTAGGATAAAGATAGCAGAATTTAACTTCATAGATACTAACTTTTTTTTGTAATTATAAAAATTGGAATGGGGGAGCACCAAGCTGAAAGACCGGTTATTTATATCGATCCTCAGAAAGCGCGAGACTTAGATCGGGATCTTACTTTGCAAGAACTTTATTACAGACCTGAGGGATATTATCGAACTGCTGAAAAAATGCAAACTGCCTGTAAGAAAGCCGGATATAGGTTTACTTTGGCCGTTATAAAAAATTGGCTTAACAAACAGGCCTTATATCAGATTCACAAGCGTCGGCCAGAATATATTCCACAAGCATCTTTTAGTAATATTACCGTACCTATGGAAGTTATTCAAGCTGATTTATGCTATATGCCTTATGATCGAATTGGAAATAAAACTTATAAATTTGCACTTAATTGTGTAGATATTGCTACCTGTACTAAATGGACCTATCCTTTAACTAAACGTGATTCTGCTAGTGTGGCTAAAGGATTTGTGAAACTTTTTAACTCCCGAATATGCCCAATTATCTGGTCTAAAGTTAAAGTTTTAATGGTAGATAAGGGTGTAGAATTCCAAGGTAATGTTATCATATTAATGAACGAACATGGTATCCAAATTCAACTAGCTAATTCTAAAGAATCTATGGGTATTGTTGAGAGATTTAATCGTACACTTCAAGAATGGGCATTCTTTATTCAAGATGGTGTTGAAATGAGATTACCCCCTACTGAGCGCTGTCGAGCTTGGGTAAAAAACCTTCCAATTTTTCTTGTAGAGCTTGACAATTCTGTAACTCGACTTCTGGGTATTTCTCCTGCTGAAGCTCGAAAAAAAGAACATGTCTTTGCTAAAGCTTCCAAGCCACGAAAAGGACCTATTGGGTTTGATGAGCCTAGATTATCCCATGATGTCTTAATAAGATATTTGCTTAATCCTGGTGAATTAGAAGGTGGGAGACGACGCGCAACTGATTGTAATTGGTCTCCCCAAATTTATCATATTCGTGAATCTCTAGTGCAAAAAAATCAGCCAGTCTTATACTGGCTAATAGATGATGAGGGCAATGGCCCGAAAAGATCCTTTGTAAGAGAGAAGCTTCAAATCGTAAAGGATGTGCAATTACCTCCTCAATGGATACTTAATAATTAGATTTTAAACATTAAGATAGTTGATACAAAGTTTCCTCTAAAAAAATGAGTCGCAAATTGACATTAATTGATGCTCAAAATATTGCTTTAGAAAAAGGTGGACAATGTCTTTCTGAATGTTATATCAATAATAAAAGTCCTTTACATTAGAAATGTGCTAAGTTTCACGAATGGAAATCCGCTTTATGTGATATAAAAAGAGGTAGATGGTGCCCACATTGTGCAAAATGTTTTAAACTTAATATTGGTATTGCTAAAGAAATTGCGTTTAAAAAAGGTGGTATTTGTCTTTCTGAAAAATATATAAATAGCTATACACCACTTTTCTGGCAATGCGCAAAAAAACATGAATGGCAAGCTCCTTTAGAAAGAATAAGAAATCATAATTCTTGGTGTCCTAAATGTGTAGTAGATACTCGAAGAGTTGGTTTAGATTTAGCTAAAAATATAGCTCGATCTAAGAATGGCGAATGTTTATCAGATAAGTATATTAATATTCATACTCCATTGCAATGGAGATGTCATCAAGGACATATTTGGCATGCAGTTTTAAATACAATAAAAAATCGAAATTCATGGTGTCCTCAATGTGCAGGATGTTCTAAACTTAATATTAATATTGCTAAAGAAATTGCGCTTAAAAAAGGTGGAAAATGTTTATCAGAAAAATATATTGATATAGATTCTTCGCTTTTATGGGAATGTAATGAGGGCCATCAATGGCATACAAATCTTAGATGTGTAAGAAATTTGAATACATGGTGTCCTCACTGTTCGGGTAATGCAAAACTTTCTATTGAGGAAGCTAGAAGTATTGCGACTAAAAATAAAGGATTATGTCTTTCTGAAACGTACAATGGTGCGCATACAAAATTAAAATGGCAGTGTAAAAACAAGCATGAATGGTATGCAACCCTGGATAAAGTAAAAAATTTAGGTACATGGTGTCCATTTTGTCCATGGAAGAGACAAGAACTCTGCAAGGAAATAGCAACGAAATTATTAGGCCCACCATCTAATATTCGTAGACCAGATTTCTTAAAAACGCCTGATCATCCATTAGGACTTGAACTTGATATACACTACCCACAATATGGTTTTGCTATCGAAGTTCAAGGTATACAACATGAATGTTTCCATACTTTCTTCCATAAAAACCAAGAAGATTTCGAAAAGCAGTTTGCACGAGATCAGCTAAAAAAAGAACTTTGCAATAAAAATCAAATAGTACTTATTGAAATATGGTATTATGAAGACCCTTACATAGTGATTTCTCAACAACTTCAAAAATTAGGTCTTATTCTTTAACTAATACTATTATTATTTTTTTTTGTTAATCATTCCTCCTGACACAGAATTACCACCCCGATGGGTGCTATCTGCTTAGTCAATTACTTGCGAATTAAATCAAAGTGATGATAAAAAGTCTTCAGTTTCTTTATCTACTTGCTCTTCTGTATGGAAATAATCCTTGGCTAATTTATAGTATAATTTATAGAAATCCATTATGGCATTGAGAATTCTTGGATCTTTTCCATAATATGACTTGTAGTCATCCATAATTTGATGATACTTATCCTTAGATGGGAATAATCTTTTTGCATTTTCTAGAACATATTCATCAGGATCCTCTGCCTGGCGCAATTTCTTAACCCTTTCTTTATAGTTTTGCATGAATTTGCCATCTAATGGCCTTCTATAGTATATCCCTGCCTTGACTACATTTATTAATGCCTGTTCGACTTCTTGATAGGTGGGCTTTGCTTCGGGTAATTGAATTTGTATACTCATTGTGAAAAAAATTTTTTATATATTACCTTTACAAATTTTTCTCTTTAATTAATTATTTCCCTATATATCAAAAATGATCGGTGAATATTCCTG